TATCCAGAGACGCCAATGAACCTACATATGTTCCAAATTTTTATGTTGAGAATGGTAAAATAGTGATAAATTGAAAAAAAAAGGTTTTCTTTGGGGACCACAGTGTCCTATAATGCTCTGCTTGTAAGTCTCTGCTATGAAACAGTTAGAGAAATATGCTCTAGTCCATAACCTGATCTTAAAACTATCGTAAAACAATGTCTCAGACATCAGGCAGTGTATTCATAAGCACTTTATGTAATAGCTCTCTGTGAAGGAGCTTTTAGAAGTATTAAATCTTTTATAGTTGGTTCTTATCACCACTGTGAACAATTCTGACTCAGTGAGTTTCTCTAGAATGAAGTACTTCAAACCACTCGAAATGATGTCCTTTACTTCCTAATGATTAAATTATATCAAATTTTTAAAACATCTGTGGTATTTATTGATATGGTTTGACCAAAAATCTAATGTACACGTTTTTCCCTTTACCCTGAATGCAGTTAATAAACCTTTGGCATGTTGGGTGTCTGTGTGCTTCCTTAGGTTTGCTCTAGAGCAGGGGTGCCCAGACTTTTTGATTTGGAGGGCCAAAGGCCAGATAAAGCCCACATCAACCACAGTGCCAGACAAAAAAAAAGCCCAGTAAATCTAATGATAGTGGCGCTAAACTGCTGTGTAGTGTATATCTTAGCCGTCATTATCATGAAACACCCTGGAGAGGTCGCCAGGCCATCACAGGCCAGACAGACAGATACATCCACACACACATTCACACCTAGGGGCAATTTAGCATGTCCAATTGGCCTGACTGCACGTCTTTGGACCGTGGGAGGAAACTGGAGAAAACCCACATGGACACGGGGAGAACATGTAAACACCACACAGAAAGGACCCTAGTCACCCGGCCAGGATTGAACCCAGGGCCTTCTTGCTGTGAGGTGACAGTGCTACCCACTGCGCCACTGTGCTGCCCACAATACAGAACAATAAAACATAAAAATTACAGAAAGGAACATTTGATTTTATAACATGATGTTGACTGTTGGCTGTGAATCCCTAATGACAATACGTATGACACAGTGCATTCACTTAAGACGGCAAGGCAGATGGTTAGTGTAAACAGAATAACAGCTAAATGAAATCTTCTGACTTGGTTCTGGGATAGAAACATTGCGTAAATTGAGTAGCCACTCCCATCTCTGCCATCTATGTCGAGACTTCTTATCCTCTTCTGAATTGGTCATAAACATTGCAGACATCCTGTGGTAAAATTACATTACCCCACCTCCCCATAGGAAACTAATCCCATCCGGATGCTGCTTAAGTTTTACTTCCACTGAAACAGATTGATTCATCAAGCAATGCTTTTAAACAACATCCCAAAATTCTTTAGTCTGGACAAACTTTTCAGTGTGTGCTTTTCTCATGCTGTGAAGTGCTGATATAGCAAAGTGCTCTAGTGAATTAATTTGCTTATTTGCTTCCCACACATCCATTTTCTTATGAGCATGGGCCTCATGGAACAAAGGAGTATGTCACTCCAGCATGCCAGATTAAAAACTGTTTAAGGTAATGAAAGTAGGGAGGAATAATGAAGTCAGGAGTAAAACTAAAGTGGGGGCAGTGCAGGGTAAAATCTGTTCAAAGTGGAAGACGGGCTGGGAGACTCCGAATGTGAAATGCAAACTCGACCCAAACCTAAACACATACTTGAGAACTGACATCCAAAACTGGTTCCAGTCCTGTCCTGGACAATATTCAAAATGGTGGTAACAGTGGTACACCATGCAAAGTCTATGGCATGGTAAATTAGACCACTGTTATCTACAAAAATTGCCTTTTTTAAGTATTTTTCATACTTAAAAACATTAGAAGCAGCCACACTGTAGCCTGAACCCATTTTCCCATTAAACTGTCCATTTTGATAGATAGTAGCATGTCATACAGTGTAAGCAAGTCTATTTCAGTTTATTTACCTTCCCCGGGTGTGTGATGGTTTAGATAGCAGTTTGCTAACTGGTGTCTATAAGCTTCTATTATGTGTTAGCTAAGTTAGCCTTGTAGCTTCAGTGCGAAACTAAAGAAAGAAACTTTAGATATCAAACATTTCTTGGCTGATTAAGTATATTTAGGGTAAAGGAAATGTTGTATACATTCAAATTTTAAGTGTCTCTTTAAGTTTTGGAAGAGAGCCCACAGTGCTGAGCACATATTTTGGTTTGCCCTGTTCTGCCACATTATTGAACTCAGGAAGGGGCTGATGCTTACTTAATGAGTTGAATTAAGCATATTAGAGCATTGATAAAAACAAATTGCATTTGAATAATACTCTGCCTGCATGCGTGCCTCCATGCGTGTGTGCGTGGGTGGAAGCAATACATACTCACCACAGAAGCCCCACTTAAAGTGCTCAAATGGAGGCAGAGTGTGTGAATGATGTGTCTGTTCCACATTAACCTTTTTGAAGCTGAAGTTTTGTACTCTAGTTGAGAGCATGGATGTTTTTACTCCGTACTGAGTGCAGCCACTACAGTCTGTCGGGATGTATTCGTCCTTCAACAGTTGCTAGATGTTTTTCTACAGGTGGAAATGTACTGAAGGAGCGTGGAGCAAGGGGTGTGTGCAACACATACCCTCCACCAGCAGTCCTGCTCTAATCCCAGCTAGAGAAAGAACTGTAAGAGCTGTAGTTGGCAGCAGAAGTAATTAGCTTTGGCTGGATCACGACTGCGTGTTTATACCTACAGTGGAACAAGGTGTGTGTGTGATGTGCCCAGCAAAACACTCTCCTGATGGTCAAAGGGGTGTGTGTGTGTTTAAGTTTGAGCGTAGCTGAGACCTTTGATGGCCAATATGTGTACATTTCCATGAGGTTAGAAGAAAGCAAGCTTTGAGGCAGAGTCTGTGGCTGCTTTATACAGCCAGGCGGCGACGGTATGTCGTTATTTCACTGTTTTAATAATAAAGGTGACAGAATGAGTTGTGGTTCGCTCAGGAATCTTTCAACAGATTTTATTTTGGTATGACTTTATTGAAGGGCAGCATTCGTAAGGCTACAGGACACCTACAGATAATGCAAAACTTTGTAAAGGGACATGCTTTTTGATTTTCTGAGTGAAAATAAGAAAATAAGAACACTCACAAAAATTGGAAGTCATATTGTAAGTAACTGTAAAATTATTTATTTATTTATTTATTTATTTATTTATTTATTTATTGCTACATAAACCCACATGAATGTCATAAGTGGACCTCTTGGAAAAAAAGAAAGAAAAAAACAATGGCTCAGGGAAAAATAAAATACCTGAGAAATGTACGACATTGGCCCTTTAAAGAACCATTCACTAAAAGATTCCTTATGGAATCAAAGGTGTTTTTCTATTGTATCACTCCTTTTTTCACACCTTTGTTTTAGGAGTACTTTGCGAGACTGTGATTGTGAGATGTTCGCAACAGCTTTGATTTGGACGATAATGCTGAATGTAAACAAAGGCTGTCCTGCTGTGATGAGGTCTCAGCGCTCCATTCCGGATCAGTGGCGTCAGGGGCTCTAATTAGAGCTGCTCTTCTGAGTCGGGCAGAGAGGCCACTGTGTGGATGAAGTGAACTGAGCCAGAGAAACAGAGGGTCTATTATGACTGTGCCCCAGTCTTTTATATCCTCTCTCTCTCTCTCTCTCTCTCTCTCTATTCCCCCTTCTCTTTCTGCCTTTCTTTCTATCTGTCCATCTGTCTCTGTATCTGTCTCCCTCCCTATCTCTCTCTCTCCTCTTCTCTCTCTATCTCTTCGTCTCTCTCTCTTCTCTTCTCTCTCTCTCTCTATTTGTCTCTCTCTCCTTTTTCTCTCTTCTGATCTATCTCTCTCCCACTCCCCTCTCTCTTTCACTCTCTTCTCTGTATCTGCTCTATCACTCTCTCTCTTTCCTCTGTCTCTCTCCATCTTTCTCTCACTCCCACTTCTCTCTCTCTCTTCTCTCTCGTTCCCCCTTCTCTCTCCACCTCTTTCTATCTTTCCAACTGTCTCTGTATCTGTCTCCCTCTCTTTGTCTTTCTATCTTTGTCTATCTTTCTATTTCTCGCTCCATCCTCCTCTCTGTATCTCTCTTCCTGTCTCTTTCTACTGCTCTCTCTCCTGCTCTGTTTCTCTGTCTCTATCACTCTCTCACTCTCTATTCCACCCCTTTCTTTCTTCCTATCTTTCTCTCCATCTTCGCCTATCTCTGTCTCTTCTTCTTCCTCTCATTCTCTCTCTGTCTCTCCATTTCCCCCCTCTCTCCCTCTATCTGTCTATATTTCTTTCACGCTTTCTCTCTTCTCTCTATCTGCTCTGTCGTTCTCTCCATCTTTCTCTTGCTCCTCATTCTCTCTCTCTTTCTCTCTCTCTCTCTCTCTCTCTCTCTCTTTCTATCTGTCTATCTATCTATCTCTCTTCCATGCCTCTCCTCTGATCTGTTCTCCTGTTGTATCTTTTTGTCTCCTTGCTCTGGTACTCTGGACTCTCTGGAGAAGCATCTATTCTGAGAATCAGTGTGTGTGTGTGTGTGTGTGTGTGTGTGTGGTTTCCTCTTTGTCACGCTGACAGGTGTGATAATTACGCATTCCACATTGCCTCTAAATGAACCCGGCGCTCGGCACAATCAGAGAGAAAAGCGCTCGCTGTAATGCTGCTCAACATGTCAGCGGTGTATTGTACACTTGTTCTCTCCTGTGTTTCAGTTAGACTCGCTTAACGCTGCAGATGTAGCTGCACAGCCATATGCAGCACATCACTCACTTTATACTAACAACCTGACAGTGTAAAGAACATCAAATAATGAAGACATTTAAATAAAGCAGGATGAAGATCAGAAACACTTACAGGCAAATGGCAACAAATAAAGAACCTTTGTGGTTTTATTTACACAAAAGAGCACATGTAAGACTAGCTGACCCGACAGAAAGTGTGCTTTGAGTCCGAAACTGACCCGAGTACAACAGAAGAGACCCCACTGACCTTAAAGTTTGTCTGTTTGTTTTCAGCTGGGGTCAGAGTGGACAGCACCAGGAGAGTTCACCAAGTTCAGGTCTCAGGCTTCCAAGTCTGTTCAGTAAGTACACACACTTTTTTAAATTCTCATTGAATGAATGACAGACGGTGCCAGTTTTACCTGTCAAAACTGACCAATTCATCATCATCATCATCATCATCATCATCATCATCATCATCATCATCATCTTGTTCTTGTCTTTCTTGTTTTTCTTCTTGTCTTTTTCTTCTTGTTCTTGCTCTTGTTCTTGTACTTCTTCATCTTTGTCTTCGTCGCCTTCTTCGTCTTTTTCTTCTTTCTTCTGTCTTCATCATATTCTGCTTACTCTTTGTCTTTATCTTCTTCATCTTCATCTTCTCCTTCTTTTTCTTCTTCATCTTCATCTTCTTCTTTTTCTTGTTCTTCTTGTTCTTCCTCTTCCTCTTCTTCTTCATCTTCTTCTTTTTCTTCTTCTTGTTCTTTTTCTTCTTTTTCATGTTCTTCTTCTTCTTCATCTTCTTCTTTGTCTTCTTTTTCTTCTTTGTCTTCATCTTCTTCATCATCTTCATTTTGTTCTTCTTCTTCATCTTTTTTTTCTTCTTTTTCTTCTTCTTTTTCGTCTTCTTCTTTTGTCTTCATTTTTCCTCTTCTTCTTCTTCATCATCTTCTTCTTCTTCTACTTCTTCATCTTCTTTGTTTTCTTCTTCTTCTTCATCTTCATCTTCTTCTTCTTCTTTATCTTGTTCTTTGTCTTCTTTTTCTTCCTCTTTTTCGTGTTCTTCTTCTTCTTCATTTTGTTCTCCTTCTTCTTTTTCGTCTTCTTTTTCTTCTTCTTTTTCATGTTCTTCTTCTTCATTTTCTTCTCCTTCTTCCTCTTTTCATCATCTTGTTCTTGGTTTTTTGTTCTTTTTCTTGCTGTACTTTTTGTTGTTCTTCTTTGTTGTTTTCGGTGTTGTTTGTTCTTTTTGTGTTTCTTCTTCCTCTCCGTTTTCTTCTTCTTCTTGTTTTTTCTCTTATTCTTCACATATAATGCAGTATATATGTGTCAGTGCATCAGACTTGCACATATGAGGAATTTCTCTTGGTGTAATTGGTGCTCATGGAAATGGAAAATTGAGAGTACAAACAGATGCAGTAATGCAATAATAATGTAATCACTGCCCTTTATGACTCCAGAGCTGTTTGCTCTGGTCACCTCTATTCATGAAGCTTGAGTGTCTCATTTGCCAGCACACCTGCACACACTGATGTTCTGATCCTGTGGTTTAGTCCGCCATGCTCCTGACTGGGCCAGCAATTAGAGGAAATGGGCTTTCTTTGTGTGACACCGGACTATGTTTAATCACTTCCTCCATAAGGAAATGAATCTGAGGAAGCTGGATAATGATGGGTTGCTTTGTGATATCGGACAGTACAGCGGGCGCCATTACTTGCCATAAATTGCGAATTTAGCTGTCTTTATATAATTTACATTCCCCTTATGTCAGTGGGTATCAAACACACTGCAGGCAGACTATATCATACAGACTGCAGGCAGACTTTGAGTTCATTAGTAATTGAATATTACTTGTTTGTTAAAGCACAGAATGCAGAAATGACACGTTTGATTATGTAAATCAGAAGGTCAGAAGATGTCCTTGAGTTAAAGATTACTCTTTCGTGGAGCTCGCTCTCTAACGACCAGGGGATTTTATTAAAACCGCTTTTATAAATTAATCTGAGCATTCTCGTTAAAGCATTAGCAGGCTGCGAAATGATCCGTGGTTTGACCTTGGTCTGGGCCACTTCAGATGGTGCATAAGCTAACCGCAGTGTGCTGTTGCTCATCAACAGAGTGAATGAGCAGATATCCTCTGGAGATTCAGCTTGCGTGCTAATCTAAAGCTAGCTAATCTTGTGGATTCATCTACACTTTAAAGGGCCATATCCTACATATTGTTTGTTTCCACTGAGGTCCACTTATGATGTTTGTGTGGTTATATGTACCAGAAATAGTCATAGTTTGTTCCACATGACCGTTTTACAACTTCTGTTTATCCTATGGAATAAAACAGGCTCCTTTAAAATGTTCCTTTAAGGCTGATATATGCGAATGATCTCAGTTCTTATTGGCTGTCCTGTATTGTGCCTCAGTCCAAGCTAACTTTGCAAAAATAGGTGGGGCTAAACGGCTGTTAGCTGAATGGACAGAAATTTATGCAAATGCCTTAGTTTCCATGACATCACAAGAATTCATTCAGTCAATTCAATGTGATCGCTTTTTGCAGCTGATTTTCTATGTATGGACTGGGGATTGATATATTTTGAAACAAGGCTTACGTATTGCATTGAATGCATTTATTACTGAAAAGTTTGGAAAATTCTGTTTCCTAATATATGGGCCCTTTCCATGATTTCCTCAGTGTGCATGGAGAAACACTTTAAATGTATCCTGCCAGATCCTGTTTGTGGACGAAACAGGCAAGAATAGTGTCTCGTGTGGTCCTCTTTAAACAGGATGTGAGTCCTTAAGAATTGATTTATTATTGATAAGGCAGGTTTATGTAAACAGACCTTTGCATACTATTATTAAAATCCCTCACAGGATTCAAGTTATGTCCCATGAGATTTGGATTCATGCACACACAATCACAGTTAAGTTCACTGCATTATTCATTCTGTGTACTCTCTGATTAGTATCCCTCTACCCCCTTTTCTCCTGAGGCTGAGTTGTGTGTGGATACAGGGCAGTAAAGGAGAGCAACTATGGCTAAATGCTGGTAGGCAGCGTATAGTGCTTAACCTCAAATCTCTATGGGTTGGTGCCATTTGATTTTATTTGGGAAGTACTTTGCCTTACAATGTCACACACACACACACACACACACATATATATATATATATATATATATATATATATATGACATAATATTATGACCACCTCCTTGTTTCTATGCTTATTGTCCATTTTATCATCTCCACTTACTGTATAGGTGCACTTTGTAGTTCTACAATTACAGACTGTAGTCCATCTGTTTCTCTGCTTACTTTGTTAGCCCCCTTTCACCCTGTTCTTCAGTAACCTCCATGGACCCAGACCAGGTACTATTTGGATGGTGGATCATTCTCAGCACTGCAGTAACACTGACGTGGTGGTGGTGTGTTAGTGTGTGTTGTGCTGGTATGAGTGGATCAGACACAGCAGTGTTGCTGGAGTTTTTAAACACTGTGTCCACTCACTGTCCACTCTATTAGACACTCCTACCTTGTCAGTCCACCTTGTCGATGTAAAGGCAGAGACGATAGCTCAGTTTGTGTTGGTCGTTCTCTTTTCCTTCATCAGTGGTCAAAGGGACGCTGTTAGCTGGATATTTTTGGTTGGTGGACTATTCTCAGTCCATCAGTGACAATGAGGTGTTTAAAAACTCCAGCAGCACTGCTGTGTCTGATCCACTCAGACCAGTGTAACACACACTAACACACCACCACCACATCAGTGTTACTGCGGTGCTGAGAATGATCCACCACCCAAATAGTACCTGCTCTGTGAGGGTCCATGGGGGTCCTGACCACTGAAGAACTGGGTAAAAGGGGGCTAACAAAGTATGCAGAGAAACAGGTGGACTACAGTCTGTAATTGTAGAACTACAAAGTGCACCTAAAGAGTAAGTGGTGCTGATAAAATGGACAATGAGTGTAGAAACATGGAGGTGGTCATAATGATCGGTATATATATATATATATATATACACAAACTATACATGAAAACATGTCTAGGACAACTTGTTAAAGTGTATTTTGGTTCTGGTTTGCTGCCATCCCCTCTAAAACCTGCCCAAAGTAATAACCTAACATAATAACATAACCAAAACAAGCTAGCTGGCAAAACGCTTTTGTTAGCTAACATTTATTCTTTAAGATCAGGAGTCTCAGGATCACTGTTCGTTTTGACAGAGTTTGTCAGATTGTCTTAAGCTAAAATATAGTCTGACTGAATGGAACTGCTTTTCCCTTGCAAGAGTTATTCATAACAATAGGTTTACACTTACCACATGTAATGTGTTCTCCGGACACACAACATCTGCATGTTTAATTGGAGTTTTTTGAGCATGCTAACTTACGTTACATCCATGGGCTACTCACAAGTTTGTTGTATGTCGGACAATGTTGACGAGCACAGCATCACCTCCTACTTTGAGCTCCACCTTCACAAAGCATCAGATTGGTTTAGAAATTTCACACTCAGTTTGTTCCCACTCTAAAAAGTCTACTCACCCACATTCAACCAAACATTTCTCATGGTTGTCCCAGGAACAGTCTTTGCACTAGGCAAATGTAGGTAGGTGCCTAGGTCCCCCATGAGCCACGTGCCACATGAAAATACAAATTACATATACTGTATAATAATCAATCTTGAAATATACATACATTACAGTAATAGCTGTTATTTCTTGTTGTAGCAATTATTTTTAGTAAGTGCAAAGCAGAGCCAACGCCCAGGCATGGTTATGATGGATTATTTCATGCGATTACACAGCTGTGTGAAGACAGACTGGTATAAACAAAGCGACAATCTGCATTTTGGAGAGGAGGTTCTTCGGTGTGATTTTCTGGGTAAAATCTAATAAAAAAGGTGGTCACTTCAGTCCCAAAACTAACTTTGTGTTTTTCAGTCAGAACAGAGTGCAGCACAGGCTCAGCAGTCTGTATATTATGCTAGAATTAATGTTATATTGCTCCAGTGTCGGGGTAATTACTCAAAAAATAATGCATTTGAAGTTACCAATTATGTCTCTCAAAACGTAATGGGATTATGTTACTAGAGATTACTGGAAAACGTAATCTCATTACTTTATGTCTGTGTTACTATTTACCAAATATTCTCACTGTATTGCCGGATCATTTTACTTACATCAAAAACATTTCTTAAAACAAGCAAAATTGTCTGCCAATATAGTAATTCCACTTCATAATTCCACTTCATGAAATTACTTGAAATTGTCTAGAAATAAGTTAAATAATCTTATAATATTTTTACAAAATTTCTCAAAATAAGAAATATTGGAAATATCGATTTGATTTAAGATGAGTTTATTTATCAT